TACTGTATCTCTTGTTAATTACCTATGTAAAATGTTTATATTATTTCTATGTTAATTGTACGCAGTTGCAACTGCTATTAGTTTTTATTTTTGTACCTACGATAATCACTTTGCATTAATAATTTTAGAAAACACTCGTTTATATTATTAGAGCATATCAAAGGCGCCGACTGAATTTGTTCAAATTATTACTTGCAAAATGTTAAGCAAAATAGAAGAAAATTATGTAATCACTATATGTATTTTTTTAACAACTTTTAAATAGAATTAGTAGTAATAGAGAGTGGAAGACAATTACGTATCAAATAGCGTAAATTGTTTCTCCACTCTCAGTGTGTAATAAATTTATGAAAATTGTCTGACCATTGTAAAATGTTTATGGAAAATTGGCAATATACTCCCGCTGGGGAGTATGTTGGGGAGGGGGGGGGGGGGGACGACAATCCAGCGGAAAAGAACTGGATGTCTATGAAAACAAACAGAATTATAGGGTGATACAATCACCTTATGAAGGAACATTTTTGTTAGGGTTGCTAAGTCAGAGAAGTAGTTTAGTATTTTAGACTTTTGGAAAGAAGCTGAACTAAAGTGATCTTCGTATCATGATCTACATTAGTATTCGAATTCATCATCGTCTAAAAAGTGACTAAAAATATATAATCATTTTTAGTCACTAGATAATTGTTTTTACTGGGAATTTCTTTTCCATTAACTTCCACCATTTTTGTTGGTTCACTGAAGCTATATTTATTTCTTAGGTCCTTATGCACCTTTGACGAAACTCAAAGAATTTAAATCGATATTAAAGCAGCTGCAGAAATGTGAAAGTAATAAGATGACTTTTAAAAGAAAATATTTTTATTTTTTGTAAAATAAAATACAAGAACCACAGATTTCGACATTGTCATCGAAAATGTCAGCTACTGCAAAATACTTTTGCAGTAGCTGACATTATATTTTTTGCCAAATGCAAGCCTCTCAATCGGTTACACGTTCAGTATTTCATCAGTTCAGTTCGTCAATCTGGTCAGAACGACCGCAGAGTTATCATCTAACCCACAGACTGACGGACTGATGGTCAATACTGATAAAAATTAAATATTTTAGATAATTTTTGTCAGTCCACTGTGAATAATGAAATACTGATGCGAGACTGATCGTGTACCCACATGTATCATTATCGCCTCAGTCACCGTCCACAACGACATGGAGTCAAACGTACCTGCGTGTGAACCGCGAGCCACCGGCCACCGGCACCGTTGACCCTACCTGCCGCCCCCGCCCCCAATTGAAATAGAAAAAAAAATATTCTCACGTTGGAGTCCTTGCCCGTTTTATGGGATAAAACGCACAATAACTACTCTAATAAATATAAGAAAAATTAAGCTTTGCAAAAACTCCTTGATATATTCACAAAGATTAAACCTGGGGCAACTATAAAAGATGTCAAAAAAATGGCAAGAAAAAATATGGCAGAAATTTTGAAAAAAAAAATTGACATTGTTGTTGCTGTAAGCTAGAGCCTAAGGATAAATTTGACTTAAAACCTGGAGTCAATGAGTTAGTGTTTGATAAATATGTAGTAAAAAATTACTGCCAACACGAGATATTACCAGAGGAGAATAGAGGAGGTGATCATAAATCCCAAAAGTATGAGACCAAAAAACAAAGCGTCATTGCTTTCATTAAATCCTTCAAATGTTCTGAACCACACTGTTGTCGAGGCGATACGAAGCGTCTTTATTTACCGTCAGAGTTAAGCATAAAGAAGATGGCAAAAATGTGTAACGAACAGGCCGATGATAAATTTGACTTAAAACCTGGAGTCAATGAGTTAGTGTTTGATAAATATGTAGTAAAAAATTACTGCTAACACGAGATATTACCAGAGGAGAATAGAGGAGGTGATCATAAATCCCAAAAGTATGAGACCAAAAAACAAAGCGTTATTGCTTTCATTAAATCCTTCAAATGTTCTGAACCACACTGTTGTCGAGGCGATACGAAGCGTCTTTATTTACCGTCAGAGTTAAGCATAAAGAAGATGGCAAAAATGTGTAACGAACAGGCCGATGAAGATCTCAAAGTGAAAAACCTATACTTCCGCAATATTTTCAATACATGCTTTAATTTACGATTTGGCTCGCCAAGAGTCGACGTATGCTCAAAATGCTTGCAACTAACTGAACAAATAAAAACGGCCAAGACAAAAGATAACGAAAAAAAAAACCTGATGATAATGAAGACTGCATAACCGCCGCGCGAAAGCGTTTTTTGATATGTTGAAAGAATACGATCCTGCAATCAAAACGTTTTCATTTGACTGACAAAAAAATATGCCATTGCCCAAAATACCAGATCAGAGTACATATTACTAGTGTCAGATGTATTAATTTGTACAATTTTACTGTGATCGAAGTTAATTCCAAATCAACCCTGACGAAAGAAAATGTCTTTAGTTGTTATTGTTGGACCGAAAATGAGTACTTGAAGAATGCTAATCGGATTGGAACACTATTGCCAGAACTACATTTTCAGTCCTTGGGAAATGGCACATTCAATTTTCGAAATGCAAAAGATTATATAATATAAAGAGGTCAACCCAACGTAGGCTTGGGTAAAAAATATCGATATATCGAAATATCCATATTTTTTCTTAAAATAATCGATATATATCGTCAATATTTTTAATCGCGATATATCGTCGTTCCGATATTTATATTAGAGTATCGACATCGTATCAATTTCGATATATTTTAACGCAATTCTTGTTTCGTTTATTTAAAAAAAAATGTCGTTACAATCTTCATCAAATCGAATATCGCAGCAAGACCATAGACCAAACAGAAGCATTCTTTTGTCTTTTGCTTTTGGTTTTGTTTATGGTCTCACTGTTACGAATTCAAAAATTAGTAAATAGAAATTACTGTTTGTGTTTATGGTGTACACAGTAAGACAGTAACGGTATTTTTCTACGGAAAACTTAAAAGTTTAATTTAAAGTTAAAAATAAACTATAACTAAAAATACTTCGAATTCGAAGCTTCGAACTTCGAATCTTATCAATCATGTCTTCTGTGTGGAAGTTTTTCAAAAAAGAAGACAACAACAATGATTCAGCTTCTTGTAATTTGTGCGGCAAGTCGTATAAAACGTGCGGTAATACAACCATTTAAGCTTATGTGCGCAGAGACTGACTTAGGTGTGTTTTTGAAGTACTTTGTAATTTATCAATTATCCAGACCTTTTAATTATTTTAATTGATATAATTTAATAACTACATCTTAATTGATTCTCACATTAAAAAAATATATACAATATTTTCTATTTTTTAGGCTCATTCAGGACAGTACATAAAAGATGCTGGGAAGAAATTTGTGAAGAATTTCATATAGACAAAAATAAAATCGTGGCCATTACAACTGATGGGGGTGCAAATATAGTGGCGGCAGTGCGATTGTTTTTAGGGAACGATTGCAGAATTTCGTGTATGGCACATTGCTTAAATCTTATTGTTGATGGGGTGTTAAAAGAAAATCATGCATTTTCAGCTCTTTGCGATCACGTAAAGAGCATCGTGACATATTTTAAACAATCTGTAAATGCCATGGATCAATTACGCTCTGAACAAGAAGTATCTGGAATGCAAGAAGGGGAGGTGTTGACATTAACACAAGCCATCACCACAAGATGGAACTCGTGCTTTGACATGTTAAAAAGATTTATTACTCTTTCTGCACTAAGTAGCTAAAATTTTAGCTACTAAAAGTCAGACAAGCCGAAATACCCCCGACATGGTCGCAACTTCTCAATTAAATATTATACGAGATATTGTGGCTATTTTAGGCCCATTCAAAGAAGCCACGGAAGAAATAAGTGGGGCTAATTACGTGACTTCCAGTTTAGCCATTCCGGTTACAAATTTGATTCGCCAAGCAGTGGAAACTATAAGTCCATCTACAAGTTTGGGGCTAATTGTTAAATAGGCTCTTCTCAAAAAAGTTCAAGAAAGACTGGTACCTTAAGAAAATTCATATTTGTCCGCAGCAACAATATTAGATCCGCGTTTAAAAAAAATTCATTTCAATTCAGGAGCGAACACCGACTCAGGGGTCAACTTTCCCCTGATCTTAGAACGATCCAAATAGGAAAAGCACAAGAAAAAACTGAGAGTTCAATTTGGTCTGGGCATGAAAAACTATTATCCCAGTCAACAATTGTGCCCGAAGTCCCGAGCTCTGGCTCTGTGCCCAATCAACTCAAGCAATATCTTGATCAACCTCTCCTTGAGAGAAAGGCTGATCCAATAAAATTTTGGACAAATTGCCAACATTTTACGCCAGTTCTTTCAGAAGTTGCCCTTAAATACTTAATTTGCCAGGCTTCTTTGGTCTCTTCTGAAAGAGTTGCATCAGCTGTGAATATAACTGTACCCGACAACAGAAGCCGCTTGACAGGACAGCACGTCAAACAGAGAGTGCCACTAATGTCAATTTCGGATGAATATTGGTTTGATTAAATTACTTTCTAATAAAAATATACTATTTTCTTCATGTGTGTATTTTTTTCCGAATATTGAATGTTTTGGGAATATATATTATGTATGAAAGATTATGCAAAACATGTCGATATATCGATATTTTTCTGTCGATATATCGTCGGTCGAAAACAGTAGTGGAACATCTCTGAAAATTGGTTTTTAACTTTTTATGAGTGTTACATTACTATTTCAGTGCCAATTCTATATCAGTATCGGAATAAGTCAAACTCCACATAGAAGTCGATTAAAAATAAAAGTTCCACTTCTACTCTGTGCATATAATATTATTCAGTATTGGGACACTTCGAAATGTTCCAATACGGCACTCAAAATCAAAAGTTGAATTAAATTTATTCCACCACGCTTCTCGATCTCGCTTGAGTCTCGCGCGCATTTGTTTAGTTACGCGCTGCATGCTGCGCTTGGTGGACGTATTGTCAAAAGTAATACAATCTGCAAAAATGTCTGTGTCTAAGTTATATGGAAGATCAATGAAAATGTTGCAAATGGTAATCCATGAAGACGCCAATATTGAAAACAAAGGTGTGTATTCTATTTGTAACGTTTGTGTATTTTGTAAGGAGTCGTTACTTTTAAAATTTTGCACGCTTTGGCTATATTTTAACCACTTTTATTCTACAGAAAGTGATATAAAGCAAGTTGAAGAGTATTCTTTGCCACAAAATGAAGAACAAAGTCTAGGTAAATAACTTACGTGTTTTATAAGATATGCTTATTTATTAACTTTTGTGTTTTATATCTAATACATGTTATTAAACATTCTGTCCTATTAACTGTTTTTATTGCTTTTAAGATGCTGAACAGATATTGAACATAGAAAAATCTACAGGCACTATTTTTATATCTAATAATAATGAAGTTGGTGAGATACAGCAATACGTTGAAGAGAATACTTTGCCCCTGAATGAAGTACATAATCGAGGTACGTACCTATCTTCGTGTATTTAAGTACATAATAGAGGTACCTACTTAACCTATCTGCGTATATTATTTTTGTGTTTTGGTATAGTGTGTATATTTAACTGTTTGAATTTCTTTTAAGGTGTTGATCAGGCAATAAATATGGAAAGTTGTACAGACTATAGGTTCGTAGCCAGCCAGCATGAGCCAGCAAATGAAGCTTCTAATCTAAGTATGATTTTTTATTCCATTTTAATAAATTAGCTTGCTGCCCATCAACATGTTTTTCATAGTTCTAAATTATTTATGCAATAGCTTTATACGAGGTCTTCGTTTGCTTAGGTGGCGAGCTTATTGAAATTTTACGGGGAGGAGAAGACAAAGAAAATAATATACTAAATAACAGAGAGCCGTCACCATCAACCCCGCTTTCTAAAAATAATGCTTCGGAAGAAAAGAAGAAGTTGACAAGAAAGAGACAACGAAATCCCGAGGCATGGAAGAAAAATAAAAAGAAATGTTTGAAAAATTCAGGTATGGCTTACACTACTGAGAAAGGAAAATTAGTTAATGCTAAACAATTAAAACCTGGTTGTGGAGACAAATGTCGCTTGAAGTGTACACTGATGATTAATGAGCAGCAAAGATTAGTAATATTCAATAATTTTTGGATATTAGGTGATTTGAATAGACAGCGAGATTTTGTCAAAAATGCTATGAAAGAAGTAAAGCCGAAATATTCGCTACATAATGCTCAGAGTAAAAGATCTATTAATGCGGCTTATCATTTAACAGTAGATGGTATAATTATAAGGGTATGTAAAAAGTTCTTTATGCACACTTTGGATATAGGGCACTCATTTATAACGACGGTATGTAAGAAAACAACATCATCGGGTATAGTTTTAGAAGATTTAAGAGGTAAGCATAACAAGAAAGGTAAACTATTACCTGACTTTGTTAAGGATGGAGTACGTGAACACATTAACTCATATCCTACTAAGGAATCGCACTACTGTCGAGCATCATCAAATAAACAATATTTTGATGGTGATTTAAATCTATGTATGATGTACAGGCAATACAAAGAGTGGTGTAATAAAGAAGGTAAGCCTGAAGCTAAACAAGGAACGTATGAAAACATTTTTAGAACTGAATTTAATATAGCTTTTCATGTACCAAAGAAGGATCAGTGCTCTCTTTGCTGTTCTTATAATAATGCAACAACAGAACAGAAACAAGAAATGGAAAAGAGTTATAAAGATCATCTTACAGAAAAAGAGCTTTGCAGAGAAGAGAAGAGGATAGATATAGAAACATGCAAAAATGACAAACAAAAGATTATTTGTTGTTATGACTTGCAAGCGGTTCTTCAAACTCCAGCGGGTAATGACTCGCTATTTTTTTATAAGAGACGCCTTAATGTTTATAATTGTACCGTATATGACATCGTTAATAAATCTGGACATTGTTATTTATGGGACGAAACTTTGGGTGGAAAAGGATGTGACGAGGTAGGATCTTGTATTTTACAGTTTTTCAAAGAGTTTTGTCATGGAAAACATGTCATATTTTATACCGACAATTGTTCAGCACAAAATAAGAATAAGTATTTATTGTCATTATACTATTATGCCTTAAAAATGTTGGGTGTGAAATCTATAACACACAAATACTTTGTTGTCGGGCACACTCAGAACGAAGGCGATAGCGTTCATGCCACTATTGAAAGAGAAAAATCCCGAATATTAAAAAATGGTTCCGTGTTCGTGCCATCTCAATGGAGGACAATTATACAATGTGCTAAGAAGAAAGGTAATCCCTACCAAGTTCATGATTTAAATTATTCAGACATTTTTGATTTAAAAGAACTAATTGCACACTTTGGGAAAAATTTTACAATAAATACAGAAGGAGAGCGTGTAGTGTGGAATGATATCAAGAAAATATTTATGCAAGCTACTAATCCTTTCGCTATTTATTACTTGGATACTTATAAACCTGACAGTACAATGAAATGCTTCAATGTTCGGCATAAAATGCGGGGCAAGCCTAACGAAACATTGGTTTTGACAAATAAATATCGCACTCGTCCTGGAATATCAAATCTTAAAAAGAAAGATTTGATTTCATTATGTGATGGTAATGTAATTCCAAGCGTTTATTGGGATTATTATAAAACATTGCCAGCGTCCTCAGATAGAGCTGACGATGACTAATTGTTCCATATTTTATATTTTCTTTCTTATAAATAAAAAAATGTTATAAAACTATAAAAGTGTTTTATTAATTATTCTCTAAAAATGCAATTATTTGCTAAGGTTCTCTAGATTTCATTTTTATTTAGGACATTATTTAAGAAAAATACAAAGTTTTTTAATTCAGTACTGGTACATTCAAAAATAATCCATTATCAGAGGGATATTTGCATTCGATAAATTAATTCAGTAGTGGAACATTTCAAATATTTACTTATAATTAAAAAACAAATAATAAAAAATGAATGAATTTAATAGAAATCATAAATGTAAAGTCTAACCAAAATATAACAACATTAAAAACAATCCTTTTTTCTCTTAACACTTGCTAAATGGAAAAATAAGAATTTCAAATTTTTTATTGCTCGATATCTCACATTTACTCATTTTGAAATGTTCCACTACTGTTTTCGACCGACGATATATCGATACTATTTTAAAATGCCGATACGATATATATCAATATATTTTTTTCACTTGCCCATCCCTAACCCAACGTAAACAGATGATGGTCGGCTTACGAGAACTATTTTCAAAAGATATTTTGGAAAATATAAAAATATTTGCAAAAAAAGTAAAAATACTGCAATGATAACCCCAGCATTGAATTATTTAACTATTAATTCATGGTGTGCCATTGAAAACCTTAAAGTTACGTGACGTAAACAAATTGTTATTGGCAACAATTAGGGAGACTTAGATAATCTCGAATACGTTGCACGGGTAATCCTATCCACACTTAAAGTACCAACAGATGCCGATAATGATGCGACTGAAATTCCCAGCTAATGTGTGAAGAGCAACAAGAAATGCAAACATTAGTAATATAATTTTTTTGGTAAAAATTATTAACATTTGCTTAAGTATATGCTTGTTATTTTTTTACCTACCTAATAACATATTTTATAAGATTATTAAATAATGTCGGAGTTTAGCGACAGTGGCTCCGGTACAAATAATGCGTTTTCGTTCGTTTTGTTACTGCCTTTTGTTTTTTTTTTATATTCGTGATACCAAGATTGATATTTGGGTTAGCAAGATATAATTTTTGTCAATACATTTTGTTCATTTACTTTATTAATCCTATCGTCAACATATCCAGTTTTTTCTACATATGTGATTGTCAAAATATAATTTAAATTATGTCATTTTTGTTACTTCCAACATATTAAATAAATAACAGATACCTTAAATATTTTATAAAACGTTTTCGATTATCAAAAATTACCATACTGTATGTTTTTGAGTTTTTATCACAACTTAACTTTCCTTTCCCTACTTATGACCAACAAATCAAATTTACGAACATTTTTAAAACAGATCTTATATAATATGTAACTACACCTCATAATCGTCCTCATATCAATCAGTACCAAAGTACTTCTGGCCGAAGTGATTAGGAGCGACGGGGTGAAGCTCGGATGTGAGGATCTTCATCTTTGGTACGTAGTCGACTACGGCCTGCACGGCGGCTGGCGTGCAAAACAAGTTGGACAGAATGATGCGCTCTTCTTTAACACCGTGCTGCGTCAGGACATTCACGGCCTGTGAAGAAGTTCCCCATCAGTATCATCAGAACGGAAACTGTCCAAACCCAACTTGACCCTCTCACAGTAAGTAGGATTTGCCACAATATTTTGTTTAGGAGACTAAATGAGATGTATTTAAAAAAAAGAGCTCTACTGACTTTCTCAATGCAGCCGTAGTTGAAATACAAGATATTTGTAGGCAATCCGCTCTGTGGTGTCCGGTCCGGACTTTTTGAATTATTTTTTACTGTTAAATTATTAAGAAGAAAGTTACTTTTTTAAAGATTATTTCCGTGTAATGGTGGCGTAATAAGCATTTTGTCCCGTCGGTGACAGCACTTTTTTTACAGAATAAGGGTGTCGAGCATATACTACACCTGACGGTAAGTCGACGCTATGGCCCATAGACATCTACACATCTACATTTATCATTCATTAAGTATCAAAATGCAGATGTGTTGTCACCCCTGAGGACCAAGATGAAATGCATTTCCAATAAGAAATGTTTTCGGTTCTCTTCACCTACCATACAAAATACAGCAGTATCATTCTGCTGTTTCACACTGGTATTCTGACGTGATCCTACCCCGGTCTCACCCATTCATGCTACAGCTATGTAAAATTGCAGCATCCTACCATCCTATTTAAGCGAGACGAATACCCAGAACGGCGACGGTAAGCAGGGCCAAAGGTATGAGATAACTAGTACTATGGTCCCCAATTCGCCTGCATATATGATGAAGAAGGATATTTTTATTTATTACTTGAGACATCTATCCTAATAGGACGAACTCAAAGCGATAGTCTTCTATTTCATTATAAACTAAATCTTACACAAATAATATTAAAATTTATCAGTTGAACAAGCTAATAAAAACCATATAAACATTAAGCAATATAATTGAAATATATAAAATCAGTTATTTTAATATATAATATGACTAGTGGCAAATAAATATGTCAATTTTAACATACATATGGCTGGCCATGTGAAGAACTCGAGTCAAGAGGCATTCATATAAATATCATGTTTAATCCATAAAATCTCTAAAACTCCAGTGCAATAGTTGGATATAAAATTTAAAAGGAAAGGAATAAATATTTTTAACAATATTCTACTGTGTACTATATACTATAAACAGATATTATATACTGCACTATAAACAGATCAATATACGAGGGCGACACTGAAAATTTCGGGAATCAAGGAAGTGACACAACATTACTATTTAAAAATGTATTTATTGCTTTTCGAAGTATTCTCCGCGAAATTTGACACATTTTCCCGTACGATGGAACCAACCATTGAAGCAACTATTCCATTCGGAAGTTGGGGTCTCCAAAATGGCCGTTTTGTAGGCGTCCACAGCTTCTTCAGATGATGAAAATCTCTGTCCACGCAATTTATTCTTTAGTTTAGGGAAAGTATAGAAATCATTAGGGCTTAGGTCGAGGTTGTACGGCGGATGGTCTAATAATTCTATGTTTTCTTGCTCTAAAAACTCTTTTGTTCTGTGTGCGGTGTGAGAACTCGCATTGTCGTGATGGAGGATGATGCGGCGGTTGCAGTTCTTTTTACGGAGTTCAGAAACGACCTGTGGCAAACAAATGCTAGCATACCATTCTGCATTAACCGTTCTTTGTCCCTCAAAAGGAACAGTCGTAACATGGCCGGTTTTGGAGACAAACGTGGCCACCATTTTTTTGCAACACTCCGTGAACGAACAATTTTTGTTGGCTTTAACTCGTTTTCGAACACCCAAACTCGTGACTGGTTTTTTGTTTCGGGTTCGTACGCGTATATCCAGGATTCGTCACCTGATACGATGTTGTATACAGCATTTGAGGATCCTGCGTGGAATCTTTCGAGAGTTCTGACGCACCAAGTAACGCGAGCCGCTTTTTGCTCTTCACAGAGCGAATGCGGTATCCATCGGGAAAACAACTTTTTTACACCTAATTGTTCATGCAAGATTATTTGTATTTGACTCATGTCAATGTCTAAAGTTGCCTGAATTTCACGGTATGTCACATGTTGATCTTCCTCAATCAGCTTACGCACAGCATCAACGTTTTCTTGGGTGACTACAGTTTTTGGATGACCTTGACGGGGATCATCACTGAGCTTGACACGCTTGACACGTTGAAATTCAGCAAACCAGCGATAAATTGTGGTTTTGGATGGTGCTTCATCACCAAATGCAGAAATCATCCGGTCAACACACTGCTTTTGTGTTAAACCACTTCGAAAGTCATAATAAATCATCGCTCTTGAATTTTCTCGAGTCAATTCCATTTTCTCAATGATTAAACAAGTTTGATAAAACCTTGTGGCAAGACCGAGAATCTTTTTTTAAATAAATAAATGATATTCGATTTTTAAAACCAAGGAGTTTTCAATTAAAAAGATTTTAATATGACAGGAACAGTGGAAATATTCTATTCCCGATACTTTTAGTGCAGCCCTCGTATTGAGGACAAGAGTGAGTGAAAATTTATAGTATTTCATGGAAATATCTGTTACTCTGCACTTGCAAGTCCTCTGGCTATTAGTGTTTTGTTAAATTGACATGTAACATGGTATTTAAAAATATAATAGTCCCCTGAATATTTTTACAAGTAATTTTCTGGGGTCTTGTTTTAGCAAATAAGAAGTTTTAACATATGAGTAGGTTTATAAACAAGTCTTAAAAATTATTATATTCAAAAAATGAGCTTTGATTGCTTGAAGTGAAATTAATTTAGGAGAATTAATTTTTACCTTAATCTAACATATTTCATAATGAATAATGTTATATAAAGTCTAAACAACTTTACCTGCTTAACGGTGTTGCCAGTAGACATTATGGGATACATTAGTAGCACCTGCCTCCGAGCGATATCCTCGGGGAACTTTGCGTACACCACGTGCGCCTCATGGGTGTCTGTGTCGCTCTCCACTAGAATCTTGCCGATGCGGATCGAACGGCAACAGTCCCGAAGGCCCTGAAATATTGTAAATTAGCAGAAATTACTTTAGTGTCACTTAAAAACATCTATATAGGAACAGTTGACAGAAGGACGGCTCCGTGACGCAGTGGCTTAGCAATGAGTTGTTGCGCTGGGGGCCGCGGGTTCAAATCCCGCACGGAACAAGAATTTGTATGGCCTACAAATAATTGTTCCGGGTCTGGATGTTTGTCCTCGTACAATCTATGTTTGCAAACTGCCTCCATGATACAGGAGAAAATCCTAGTGTGGAGGTAACTTTTTTTTAAAGAGAAGAAGAAGAAGAATTGCAACGGAATTTAAAGTAGCAAATTTTTTATATGTGGTAGAGCCATGCCACAGCTATATTATGGTTGTAACACAATTGGGTTGGGTCAACGGGGGAAGGACCATGCTCTCACAGAATACTAGCGTGAAATAGCAGCTTGATGCTGCTGTGTTTCATATGGTGAGTGTAGAGAACAGGTGACCCTTTTACTGAATACGAGACATTCCATCTTAGTCCTCAGGGGTGACAACGCATCTGCATGTTGATTCTTATCGAGGATAGATGTAGATGTCTATAGGCTCACCATCGGCTTGGTGCAGATGGACTGTGAGCTCTTTTGTCACTATTATTCTAAAAAAAAAAACACTTTTGTGTAGCAATGTTAAGAATATTGCGTTTTAGCTCTGTATTATGTTGGCAACACTGGAATCCTGCTAAATCTGATCTGGAAATTTTATTAGTTAGACTTGTTGGAAGATTGTAACAAAATTAGAATGATGATCATAGAGTTCAGCTTATTGCCAACTAATTATATTTCAATTAGTTGGCAATATTGGTGCACACATTTTAAGCTTTATATGGAAAAAATGAAGTTGGAAGAAGTTAAACATCTGTGAAATATTGAAAAATAATTAAAACAAGGGAGATTTGATGACAAATCAGATAGTGCTAGTGATAGCACACAACTTCATTCAGAACAAGTTGGGCCAAATTGTTGAAGTAAATATTATGTAAATGCTTCTAAAAATTTACCGCTGTCATCTATATGAGAGGCGGTAGACTCTTTTCTAGTATTATCCAAAAAAAAAAGTTAAGTTGAACCCTTTCACCAACCACTGAACATCTGAAAATACTGATATTATGGCAATTTGTATTGTTAATAATATGAACATTCAAATTCACATTCACATTTCTCCTCCACATTTTTAACCAATTTTTTTTTCCCAATTTTTAACAAAATTTAACAAACTTAGTTTTTGACTTAGATTATTATTAGTACAGGAACGTAGCATAGAGTAAGTTATAAAGAAAAACTAAAACTAAATTTTTTAATTATAGTACTTTAATAAGTTACTTGGAAAACGTTTGCTATGCATTAAATATTATTTAAGCCCTTCTTCAGATAGGTAATAGGTATATATTAGGTAACAGTTTACTGCTGGTATTACAAACTAGCACTAAATTTTTTTATAAATAATAGTTTATTTTTATATAAACAAAATTCTACATAAAAACCTTGTTTGGGTTATAGAAGGTAATATGCTGTGTGAAATATTAAAAGTAAATACAGGAATTACATGCAGAAATGTGGCACATATTGCAAATTTGATTAGAAAACAGGTATGAGATTTCCCATGTGTATGTTCATGTTAGACTAAACTATCCATAATTTTGCATCACCAGAAACATATACAGTACAATGGTGCAGGTATATAAAAGGTAAATGTAAACAAGCTTGTCTCACCACATTTAAGACAGTAACTGGTGGAGAATCTTGGAATTAGATTATGTATTTTTAATTTTGACTGGCTATCACATAAAACCCAAGAAGCCCTGATGCTGAATTACCTGTTCCATAGCTTCTCCAGATCTCACTATTGACACTCCACAATTTCCTGCACCATATTTTAGTCCTTTATAAAGTGCCCCAGTGGGTGTGACCACCTCACAGTCCGTAAATGGAAGGTTATTTAAGCTTTCTTCAATGACTAGACGAATAAGACGGTCAGCATAGAATTTAAAATCACTGCGGGTTGTATTCCTAAAATAAAGTTAAAGTTACAGCCTATTAAAGTCATACAGATGGAAACAGTCTCATTTCTGAGAGGGTTACGGAGCAATTTGTCTCATTTGCATGAGGGTTACAGAGCAATTTAGCGCATGTGGGCAGACTTCACATGTCATTTAAATGTTTTATTCACTAAACAATCTAATTTAATATAATATGTATTACTTGTGAGATACATTGTGTTCTCATGCTACGGCCAAGTCAATCCATGTCCTCCACTCATTTAAAACATAAAAGAATTTTAATATTGACATGGTCACTATAAGATGTTGTTAGGTTAGCTAATTACGTAATAATTTGAGACAAAAGGACCCTTAAGTAGGGACTGAATAAATTAACCAACTTGGTATTACATGGATCTCACAACTTTTTAAAGTAGAAGAACTGAGTTGCGAGACTTGGTTTTTTTTAAAAGTTACGTTTTTGATGGCATTTATTTCTATAAAATATCCATTTTTTTCAAAGTGAAACGTAGGTTCAGAGTTTGATTTCAAAGTCTAAAGTTTATTCATAAGAAGTAAACATAATTCATATACAACGTGTCCCAAAATTCAATAATAAACGGGCACCAGAGGGTGGACCTGCTCATAACTACTCAAGAAAAAATAAAAAGAAAAAAAATCTAAATCGTTTTTGAAATTACAAAGAAAATTAAATTCTTCGAAAATCGATACCCCGATATGGTATTTTTAACTACCATGAGCACATTTTTAATTTTTTTTTTTTGTATAAGCACATAGGACTGTGATTGTGTGTTTTGTGCATTGGACTATTGGCTTATTTTGGACTGTTTAGCGTTTATCATGCCGCTACCGTACACACCGTTGGAATACGCTAATATGCATCTCTAACGCTAACGCTGCTAGCAGATTGTATCGAGAAAGGTACCCAAATGCTCAAAGATACCCTGATAATCGAGTATTTATTAATGTGCATCAAGCGTTTGTGGAGGTTCGTTTACCATCTGCCAGGAGAAACGTTGGAAGACCTAGATTGGGACGCGATGAAGAAGTTCTCAAAGAAATAGAAAATGATACGACTACCGGTACGTGCCATAGAACTCCCAAAAAGTTCTGCGTATCCAATTCTTAAACGTTACAGGCTTCACCCATACCACTACAGACGTGTGCAGACGTTATTACCGCGGGACTATCCACTACGGGTCGCATTTTGCCGTATGATGCTGCAAAAGCACAGGAAAGATCCCCAATTCTTAGATAAAGTTCTATGGTCGGATGAAACAACCTGCAAGAAAAATGGCTATTTAAATCTTCACAACTTACATAGTTGGAGCAATGAAAATCCGCACCTGATGAGACAAGACAAATCCCAATATCAATTCAAGATTAACTTATGGACGGGCATATTAAATGGAAAAGTAATTGGGCCCTTTGAGTTACAAGGAAACTTACATGGAAATAGTTATTTGAACTTTTTACAAAACGACTTGCCAGAATTATTAGAAGACGTGCCTTTGCATGACTTACAAAACATGTGGTTTCAAAATTATGGTTGCCCAGCTCACTATGCCCGTCTTGTGCGAGAATATTTAAACCAAGAGTACCAAAGACGTTGGATCGGGCAACTTGGTCCTATGGCCACCCCGTTCACCCGACCTAAGCCCCCTGGACTTCTTCTACTGGGGTTGTCTCAAAGACAGGGTTTACCAAAACCCATTTCACATTGGATGAGCTTCGCCAAAATATCACTCAGGCTATGGATCATATCAATGGTAGAAGATATGCACGACGAATAAAAAGATCTTTTTTAAGGCGATGCCATGCCTGTATTAATGCCGGTGGCCAACAATTCGAACATTTACTGTAATATTAATAATGCAAAAAAATAAAATAAATGTAAATATTTGTACCCTTTGTTTTGATTCATGCAACATTTTTCAGCAAAAATCCTGTGCCACACAGAACTTTTTCTAGAGTATTATACCATTTTAGAATCTTGGTTAGTTGCGTCAATTTTTAAAAACGCTTGCCATAGTAGTGTCAGTACTTTTTTTTTACACCACGATGAGTGAAAGTGGACTGAAAGTAAAAATTTTAAGGGAAATAATAATTTTGATTGATTTTTGTGTAAAAACTACATGTATTCTGGGATTTATAAGGGTTGGGTAGTTAAAAATACCATATCGAGGTATCGATTTTCGAAGAATTTAATTTTTTTTTTTGTAATTTCAAAAATGATTTAGATTTTTTTTTCCTTTTATTTTTTCTCGAGTAGTCATGAGCAGGTCCACCCTCTGGTTCCCGTTTATCATTGAATTTTGGGACACGTTATATATAGAAAATTATTTTAGGTATTTATTAATGGTTATTTTAGGTAGTTTATTTATTAATGGTTATTTAAGTTCGCAAATTTACATTCATGCCTCCTTCCTATAGATCATTTAAATTTGCCGACAAACTGGCATACAGTTTGGCAAAGTTTGAAATGTTAATTATGTAACACTCTTTCTATGAATAAATAAATAAAATAAAAATAAATAAAAGACAACTCTAACAACGACACAAACTAAAAATTATGCAATTTTAAAAATATACAATGTAACCTTATTGCTTTAGGTAATTATAATTCACTATGTGCACTGTTGTGGAATAACTACCAAAACATCACAACAAAATCCATATTTGCTTCATCTTTCTATATATATTTATGAGAAACAATGAATACCAAACTAAGGACATCGGTTAGTTCGTGCTCCCGGACTGTGTTGATATTTTTCCAGTTTGCCTTTTACGTTTCGTATGTTGGTTAGTTGAAATTTGGGCATAGCTTTCCATTGACGTCAGTGGAGTTTGGTGTTGATACGTATTTTTACAGAAAGATTACACTATTATAAGCACACACACAAAGTCTCAATATACGGAAACGCGTAATTTTTGAGAAAAGAATAATTGAAAATCAATTATTCTTGCAATGTTTATGTCTAATCTGCTAACAAACTGGCGCCATTTTGTAATGTCATTGTCGACGTCAATAGGGATGTCGATTCTTTCCGAAAAAGGTCGATTTTTAAATCGATTCAAATCGTAAGCTGATGTATCGGTTCACAAAAAATCGATTTCGAAAATATCTATATTTTTTTAATGTTTCTATTTATAATGTAAATATAAACCCATTTTATGAAAAACAAAAAAGATACCATGATAAATGATCTCTTATTAAAATTTGTTTTATTTAACAGTACCTATTAGGGCAGATAACAAATAAAATAGGTTAGGTTCAACTTATGTCAAAGAACCGAATTGATTGACCCCGACTCCACCTGGTACGAGTCTGTCCTACCCCTAGAGTGGTTTTATAAAGCCGGAGGCGCGTAGGGGGAGCAGCCTCCGCCTGCTGTATGGAGGGATGCCTGCGATTTGTTACGCTAAGGCGTAGAGGTTGCTCTTCCCGCAGCGCCGGAGACGTAGCAGTCTCAAAATAGATACAGAAATCCTTATGAATCAGTCCCCTTATTTTTTTATGATGAAGGGGATTTTTTTCTCATAAAATGGACTTATATTTACATTATAAATGCAAACATGAAAAAAATATCGATATTTTAGAAAACGATTTTTTCGGGAATCGATACATCAGCTTACAATTTGAATCGATTTAAAAATCGACCTTTTTCGGAAAGAATCGACATCCCTATTGACGTCAACAATGCCATTACAAAATGGCGCCAGTTTATTAGCAGATTAGACATAAATATAGAATAATTGATTTTCAATTATTCTTTTCTCAAAAATTACGCGTTTCCGTATATTGAGACTTTGTGTGTGTGCTTATAACAGTGTAATCTTTCTGTAAAAATACGTATCAACACCAAACTCCACTGACGTCAATGGAAAGTCGTACCGAAATTTGTTAAATATGTGACAACATTTATGTATTTAGGTATATCGTTATATGACATTTTGATAACATAACGTTATTAGTTATGTTTTGATATATCAGTCTCATGCCTAATATGAAACCGTTTAAAAATATAAAACAGAAAAAATTCCTAGTGTAAAGATTATGTTTTTTAAAAGTAAAAGAAAAGTGAAGCTAAGCGAAGTAACATATGCTTACACTATTTATTATTGAATGCATATAAATTAATTTCCACATAAGTTAAATATCACAATGTTAAATGATTTTTCATAAAATAAATTTCTAGGTTTTAAAAGGATATAAAGGCAGCTATGGAAATTACCTCTATACTATTTAAGTATGCATTGACTACCATTCTCAAATATGAAATATGAAAAAAAAATACATCATACATCACAAATAAATAAAATAACGAATACAAACAATCTTATGAAAGTATAACCTTACTTACTTATCCCGTAAAATAGTTTGCAGCTCCTTGATATTATCATTCGATGGAAGAAGGCTCAAACTATCACCAAACTGTTCTCGCACATCTTCTGCATTCCATGGTCTGATATCAGTATCAATTAACTCCATTTTTGCAAATAATTAGCACAAAACCTAAACCGAAAAATAATGATGTTTGACCATAGATAAATATATATGTAGTTACTAGCAAGTTTAGTTTGACACAAGTTTGACAATGTAGTAGGCATGAGTAAAAATTATCGATATATCGAAATATCGATATTTAAAAAAAATCTGTCGATATATATCCTCGATATTTTAAATCACGATATATCGACATATCGATATTTATTTTAGAGTATCGAATTCGTTGTATCGTTTTTTTCATCGTCCAACTGTCAGTAGAGACCTTATCTTTACATCATTAAAATGATGACGATATATCGATATTAATCACGTGATATGCATCGATACTGTTTAAAAAAAAGATTCGGTATATATCGATATATTATTTCCCTTTGCCCATCCCTACAATGTAGTCTTAAAAACGTAGTATGGAGTGTAGAGTAGAAGGAGGACCATCTCTGTATATGAAAAGTGTCCCTAAAAACGTGTCCAATAAGGGTGGCGCTGCAGTAGCATAGGATAAATTAAAAAAGAAGCGCCAAAAGTATTTAGAGTAAGATGGAGAAATTAATAAGGACCGATCAATCCGCTTGGTTTTGTACTACGTAAATAGTTGAGATTTTGTATATTGGCGTTTTACTAACTACTCTAGTCATGAAATATTTGAATTCAGCTGACTTCACTCCGTTCATAACAGCTATCTTCATATCGTAGTTTTTCAGACGCCAGCGCTATTGTGGTAGGTTTTGGAACCTCTATTTACAGTAAATAGTAGGACACTTTTTCAACCTTCGCTCCTTATAAGATGGTTCTCCTTCTACTCTACACTCCATAAAACGTAGATAGAGATGATTGTTGTTGTTTTTATTATTCGCTCGAGAGAGCAGGCAAAGGAACTAAGCCATACAGCCTTATCTTTTTTATTTTGAATATATAGAATTTTAAAGTGTAAAGGCCGGATCCAAGTCTTAGTTCTCTTCTTTCCATCTCTTCAAAATCCATAAAGCCCGAAGCCAAGTCTTATTTTCTTTAATTCTTCATATTTTCAAAAACCGTAAAGGCTAAAGCCAAGTCTTCTTTATATTATAATCTTTGTAAGTTTCAATCCATGTAGATTATGGAGTGTAGAGTACAAGGAGGATCATCTCTATATACGAAAAGTGTCCCTAAAAACGCGTCCAATAAGGGTGGCGCTGCAGTAGCATAGGATAAATTAAAAAAAAAAGCGCCAAAATTAATTAGATTAAGATGGAGAAATAAACAAGGACCGGCAAATCCGCTTGGTTTTGTACTACGTAAATAGTTGAGTTTTTGTATACTGACATTTTACTAACTACTATAGTCATGAAATTTTTTAAATATTTGAATTCAGCTGACCTCACTCCGTCTACAACAGCTATCTTCATATCGTAGTTTTTCAGACGCCAGCGCTATTGTGGTAGGTTTTGGAACCTCTATTTTCAGTATATAGTGGGACACTTTTTCAATTTTCGCACCTTATAAGATGGTTCTCCTTCTACTCTACACTCCATAATGTAGATTTGTCAATCCAACATATTCAAAAACAGGGATACCATATTTCATATTTCTTTTACAGTATTATAAATAAAATTGCAAAGTGCTAAATATGTCTTAGTATTCCTAAGAACATCTTGCAGGGCACGCGGGACACTTTCTGAGTTTTCATAAACTTGTATAAGTTTTTCAATAAGTAGCAATCATTCTATGGCGTACGCTGGTCAGTTAAATATTATATGTTCTGCAGTCTGATCTGCTTCTGTATCGCAGAAGTTGCATGTTGCAGATGCTACTATTCTCATCCGTGAAAGATGAGCGTTCAGTCGATAGTAGCCAAATTTAAGTCTGCACATTATTGTATAAAATTTTCTGCAATGATATCTCTCGTTGCGAGAAAACCAAGGAATACTTAATTCTGAATTAATTGATGCATACCAACGACCTTTTCCTGCCTCTAAAACAGCATTCCATTGTTTTTTTTTATAGAAGAGGGGGCAAACGAGCATGCGGCTCACCTGATGGTAAGTGACTACCGCCACCCATGAACAACTGCAACACCAGGGGAATTACAGATGCGTTGCCGGCCTTTTAGAAAGGTGTAAGCTCTTTTCTTGCAGGTTCCTAAGTCGTATCGGTCCGGAAAATTCGCTGGTGGTAATTGGTTCCACAAGGAAGTTGTGCGAGGGAGAAAACTTCTTCTAAATCGCACAGTGGTGGACCGCCAATCATCCAGATGGTATGGATGGTAACGCGAGTTTTGTCGCGATGTGCGATGGTGAAATTGAGCAGCTGGAATTAGTCCGAGCAATTCCTCAGAGCACTCCCCGTGATAGATGCGATAAAATACGCAAAGAGATGCAACATCTCTACGCAGTGCCATGTATCGAGCCGATGAGAAAGAACTCGGTCGTCGACGATTCGAACCGCTTTGCGCTGGATGCGGTCAAGTGGAAGGAGTTGGCACTGGGGTGCCCCGGCCCAGAGATGAGAACAGTATTCCATGTGGGGCCGAACTTGCGCTTTGTTTGTTTGTTGGTGTGACATGTACATTAAACATGATCTTTGTTTTGTCCATCTTCATCTTAAGACCTATCCGTTGGGAAACACTATTGAGGTCACAGAGCATAGTGCTTAGGTCCTCCAGCGATTCTGCCATAAGGACTATATCGTCGGCAAATCGAAGGTGAGTGATGTATTCGCCATTGATGTTGATACCGTATCCTTTCCAGTCCAGAAGCTTGAAAACGTCTTCCAATGCAGCGGTGAAGAGTTTCGGGGATATGACGTCACCCTGTCTTACATCTCTCTACAATCCTCTCTGCAATGGAGTACTCTAGTCAATGGAGTAGATCTATTAAAAGTTTCACATAGTTTTTTCCAGCTAAGCTGTCTTTCAGTCTTCAAAGTAATTTTTTTTTTATCAGCTTGTAGTTTTTTAAAATTAATATAATTTCGTTCTGTAGGATCATTATTAAATACTAAATATGCATTTTTACAAATTAATACTGCCTCTTTGCATTTTAAATTCCACCAAGGTAGAGAATTTTTTTTTATTTCTTTTAAGAGATTGCAAGTTGATGTTAACATTTCGATTAGAAGTCTGATTGGATGGTGTGGATTCATGCATGGCTTGTTTAACTAGTTCTATTAAATCTGTATAACATTGTAAAGGATTACTATAATCAAAACTATAATTTTTAATTAAATTATCTATTAAATTTGGATATTTTGATCACTCTACCAATTTTTAGTTTATGTTATTTGATACAGCTGTTTCTTGAAAATTTTAATTATTGACCGTATTTTTTGTCTTTACAGGAAAATGATAGCTGCCTAGAGAATCATCATCACATACTTGCCCCTCACAAGACAGAGCCAGTGAAGATGAATCAAGTGTCAAGTCTAATGCATTCTGCCTACATCTATGAGATGTACTACTGTAGTCATCTGACCATCATTCAAGATTACAAGATTGTTGTCATCTATACTTGCAAGAACATCCCTACCTCGTGAATCCAATTCAGTACATCCCCATAACGTGTGATGGGCGTTGAATCACCAGCTATAAAGACTGGCTGTGGCAAACTTTGGATTTATTATAATTAATTGGTGAATTAGGGGGACAGTAAACACTAACTAAAGTTAATAATTTATCATTATATTTTTTTTATAGAAGAGGGGGCAAACGAGCATGCGGCTCACCTGATGGTAAGTGACTACCGCCGCCCATGAACAACCGCAACACCAGGAGAATATTTGTACAGCTATATTTTGTAATGACTCATGAGAGAATGTATTGATAACACGAAATCCAATTTTGTTATGTAGAAGTATCCATTATGATCATTACCTGAATCTAATCGTATAATATTATAATAACCTTTTACTCTAAAATTGTGCCTAGGTTTAAGCCAAGTTTCACGTATAAGAGCAACATCTATAGTGTTCTCATATAAAAATTGTGTAAATTGAAAGCGATTTTTAATTAAACTCGGTGCATTCCATTGTAAAATGTTAAACTGATCCATAAAATATTAAATGTTATATAATGAAATATCTATTTTGGTTTCATTGTATCTATGAGAACATCTTTAACAAGCTGAGCAGATATGGTGGTTTGTTCATTTGATTTATTAAGAGTTAATACTTTAATGATTGTATTTAAAATTACGAGTATATTAATAATGTCATCATTCTTTAGCAGTGACATAAGAGCATCTTTAGGAATTTTTGTTTAATTCGGGGAATTAGTTTTTATTAAAAAGATCTACAAACGGGGTTTTGTGTAATTTAGCCTGAGTTTCTTTTATCTTTTGTTTCTTAACAGGAATGCTTAGATGATTTCGTTTGCAATGTATGCATATCGCTTTATCTGAAGGGACTTGGCAATTTTTGTAGCTGTGATTTTCAGTACAAATAGAGTATTTCACAGAATTTTCACAGTACTTTGCTAAGTGGCCATACCTAAGTGAACAGTATCAGTAAGCACGGGTATGAACAGTAGTCTCGAAAATGCAAGAACGACGCTATTAGACTCAAAAGGACACGCGAACTGATTTTTCTTCCTCCGGTATTTACTTGAATTTTGTGTTATCACGGTTAAATGTGCAGTAACAAGTTGTATAGACGATTCACAAAATCAATCTTACAAGAATAATGATATTTCTTTTCATCGGTAAGTAATATTTTGATAGCACCGATTTTAACAAAATTAATTAGGGTGTCAAAGGCTGTAACGGGAGGCACGTGGCCTGGTCGATACCTCTTTTTTACCTGCTTCCGCGCCCCCTGTTTTAGGTTTTCCTTAAATTAGAGTTAGTACTGTATCATATGTATACGGATATTTTTTAATAACATTATTTCTTTCGTAATAATAATATAATCATATCATAAGAAATTAAAATCCTTTGTTTACAAATCAATATAGCTCAATGTTTAAACTAAATCTTCTGATTAGAATTTTTTTTATGCATAATAAAGGTAAATATTGGTAAATCCAATTGGCCATACCTTAAGTGCATTAAAAAAATTACGTAT